CAGACAAAGCCCCCGCGCCCGGCGTGTCCCCATCTGTCACCTCCCCAGCTCCTGGCCCCGAGCTGCTGCCTGCAGAGACGTGTGGGGAGAGCCGGGTGCGGGCAGCATCCTTCCCCCTGCCCGAGGGAGAAAGGTGGTGCTGGGCCCGGCAGGAGCTTCTCAGTTGTGCCCCGAAGTCCCTTGGGAAGCCGAGTAGAGCTCCTCTGCAGAGCCCACAGTTGGGGAAACTGAGGCAGGAGGCAGTGGCTCACCCGTAGTCAGGGCATGTGGCACAGGGGCAATTCCCTGCCACAAAGCTGGGCACAGCCTCGGCGTAGGGCTCTACTTAAACACCAGGAATTAGCACCCACTGAGGCCGGGGGGGTTGTTTGTCTTCCCAGTTCTGGGGCTGCCTTTGCTGAACCAGAGAGTCTCACTGCTCTGCAGGTGTTACACAGCACCCGCAGCCACCCCCACACAGTGTTTCCAGGGAAGATTTGGCCTCTGAGTAGGTTTTTTTGCTCTTTGGAGGCTGCACTGTGCTCCCAGGAGGTCCTTGGAGCAGCACAAGGAGTCCCAAGCCTCCGTGGGAAGTGAGAGTGCAGCCAGTGCCAGCACTCTCTACCCCTGTCTTCAAACATAATTCTCCCAACTCTGCCCCCATCCCTGTGTCCCTGGGGCAGCAGCAGAGGTGCTGAGCTTGTGCTGGGGGAGCTGCCCTCCCAAAACCAGTCCTGGGGTGCTCCCAGGGAAGGCGAGGCTCTGGGCGCTGCCTGGCTCCAACGCCCCACTCCAAAACTCCCCGGCTGCTGGGACGTGTCCGGGCAGCTGCCAGCAGCCAGTTGCCTGCACCCTGCACAGGCTTGGTGGCCACGGTGGGATGCAGCCCGGATGGGTGGGTGCCAGCAGGCTCTGCCCTCACCTCAGCAGTGTTTTTCCAGCTGAGCTCGTTGTGTGGATTCACCTTTGCCATTGCCCAAGCCCAGGGCAGCCTTCCAGAGCTTGAATGGCTGTTTTCTGTGTGCTTCCCTCAGCTCCTCTGCCTCCAACAGCTCTTTGTCTTCCTTCCAAGAGCAGTTTGAAAATTGCACGTCTGTGATCAGTCTGCTTGAGCCAAAAGCTCAGCCCTTCCCTGCCATGGGAGATGCTCCATACCACAGGGCAGAAGTCACCCCAGGGCTGGGTTCAGGCCAGCAGGTCCTTGTGGCTGAGGGCTTAGTGACCCTGCTCCAGTCACTTCCCTTCCTGCTACCCAGGTTATTTTACTCCATTTTTGAGTTTACAGCAGGGGGTTGCTGCCAGGTGTGTGGGGAAACAAGGTGACTTTTCCAGATCAGAGCAGGCCCTGCTGGCTGGCCATGCCAGGCAGCAGCTCTCT